TTCATTTGATTTGCATTCCTTTTAGAATAAGCTTTCAGATAGCGTATGTTGTCTGACATGCTGCCATTGAACAGAAAATTAACCTTATTTATATTATTTATGACAGACAGACATATATATATATATATATATATATATATATTGTACAATAATAATAGTTATTGTTTCTGAGTTATAAAAAAAATATATTATTTGTTATAAATGAACAATTATAACAATTATAATATATATATATATATATATATATATATATATATATATATTATCAAAATGAAAGATTTTATTTTATTTTAACCATGAAGGGTATGGTAAATATTTGTGCTATTTTAGATTGTTTTGCTAACTTGCTAATGTGTGAATGTGTGTTTTTTTTTTGTTTTTTGTTTTTTTTGTGGTTCTGGTCCCTGTTGGTCTTCACTCCACAGGGTGTCTTCATTAAAATAAATGGGTCCTTTCCATCTCTCTCTCTCATTTCCTGCAGCCTATAGCAAATCAGCTTTTCCCCTCTGTCTTGCGTTTTTTTTCTCTCTTTATTTGTTTCCATCTCTTTCTTTTCATTCTCTTTGGCCAGAATCACTCATCCAAATCCTGTTTTTGGCTCAGGATGGTTTGCAGTTCATTCTTCAAACATTTTACCTCATTTTGACATTCCTCCTTGTCAGTGGCTTAGAGAGAAAGTGGGTTATTTCAACCAAAATGACAGTGATGTATGCCGGGGTCTTGTCAAGGGTTAAGCGGCCTTGTCTCTAAATTGGTACGGTGAGTTACAGAGCAATAACTGTTGGAGGAAAAGACAATGTGCATAATACCCCACTCACATTTTGACACTCGCCATCCTTTTTAAGAAAAAAAAAATTCTTGGCATCGCTCAGACATGAGATCAGAGACCGGCTGATGTCATGGAAACCTTTTCTTCTTTTTTGTGGTTTTCTTTCAGGGGAAATAATAAAATATGGTTTCTTTCAAGTTTAAAATGCTCCTCTTGACCCATTTACACTGCTAAGAGATTCATTTATGGGAGTGTACAAAAGCTTAGTCCAAGGCTGGATCTGTCTCACTCCCACAGCTCTGTTTTAGTAGATCTAACACTCTCTCTCCATTTTTCTGTGTTTCTCTCTTGCTCTTTGTGCAGGGCTGAATAGTGGGGCCTTTAGAGGTGCCTCCCTCAGGCAAACTAATTCTGCTCTCACCAATCAGAGCCCCACCACACACATACTATTCACACTTCAAAGAGCCTTGCACGCTAACCAATCTAACGATGATGTCATCCCCTGCCCACAGTATTATGGGCATCATCAGAGTGAGGAACTATATTGGGCTATAGATCAAAGTGTCTGCTTTATTTCACTAAGGGGAATGCGCAGGGCGGGGGGTATTTTTTTCCACGAGGGGAGTCTCTGACCCCAGGTTCTCTGCACAACCCATGGCAGACTTTATCACCATCAACTGTTGGTGCTGTTTTACTACAGGATCATAGTGCTTTTTAGCATAGTGCTTTACATCTGTTTGTGTTTCCCATGTCTGTTTCGCACATCACTTTAGAAGAACAGGGAGGTATTGGAGAATTAACAGGATTGCTGAAGTGACTGACTGTAATTATCATATACTACTATTGTTAAATGCAACCTAGCTTTTTTGACAGAAACTCTTAAATGCTGCCAGTTGCCACAGAACATAATTTAGACATTGCCTCAGTTTGTAAAAGTAACACATTTGGGGAGTTAGCCTTTAATACAGGCTCCTGCATGTGTTTTGGAAAATTGGTTATCGATTATCCTTTTTTATTTATTTATTTAGCTAAATATTTGTATACATATTTATATTGTTTTATATTAATACTTAATATTATACTTTAATACTTTAGATTTAAGTGCTGTTTTAGTGCCATTTTAAATATTTTTTGAACTTCATTTAAATGGTAATATTTTAAAATATTTTCTTAACATTTACATGTGTTGTCCAGTAAATAATGTCTAAAGTTGTCTTGTATTTTTTTTAATCAGAATGTCATAACTCAATCTGATAATTTAATCCACTTTAAACCTGGCCCTCCACAATTGACTACAACCTCGCATTCAGATCTGATATTTCACAAAAATATCTGATGGAGGGATGCACCGATATGAACATTTTGGTGTATACCGATAATCTTTATATTTGAAAAATGATATATTAGCCAATATATCTAGCCTGACGTCGTTATACTCAGATTCTAGTCATAATATGAGTCTGAAACTGCTCATTTGGGCTGTGATTATGGGGCATGTTTCAACCGAACCAGGAAAAAAATGCCTCAATTGGATAGACCGAATCCTGTAGGAAGAACAGCAAAAACATCTTTCCGATTTAAAAATTCCTTGATCGCGGTTCTCTGTTCCTCCTTTAAATTGAATGTGCTGTTTACATTATCTATAACAGACGCGTTGGTGGAATGTACACATCTCAGCCATATCCCAGCAGCCATATCACCCTGTAGCCCAAGACTGGTTGCCCATTAAAGCTAAGCAGGGCTGAGCCTGGTTAGTACCTGGATGGGAGACCTTCTGAGAAAGCCAGGTTGCTGCTGGTAGAGGTGTTAGTGAGGCCAGCAGGGGGTGCTCACCCTGTGGTCTGTGTGGGTCCTAACGCCCCAGTAAAGTGATGGGGACACTATACTGTCAAAGAGCACCGTCCTTCGGATGAGACGTTAAACCGAGGTCCCGACTCTCTGTGGTTATTAAAAATTCCAAAATTTGCCCAGTAGCCTCTGTCCATCATGGCCTCCTAATCATCCCCATATACACCAATTGGCTTCATCACTGTCTCCTCTCCACCAGTAAGCTAGTGTGTGGTGAGCGTTCTGGCGCAATATGGCTGCCGTCGCATCATCCAGGTGGATGCTGCACATTGGTGGTGGTTGAGGAGATCCCCCCCATCTATGTGAAGCGCTTTGAGTGTCCAGAAAAGCGCTATATAAATGTAACGAATTATTTATTTATATTATATTTATTATTATCTCAATTCTCCAGCAGCAGCCATTCTTTGTTGTAAACGAATTCAACCCAAGCGCTCTAGGCACAAAATGACGCAAATGCAAAAGTGTTGTTTGCATCTTGAACTTACGTGCTAGACAGAGTGTGTAACACCTGTTGTGGATGCGCTCTTCCCGCAACATTGCACTGAAACACAGAAACTAAACCCAAAGTATTTACAACAACGTTTTATTACAATTGTGTTCTCTTTATAATGTTATCACAGCCCCAATCATAGTTATTCATGTCATTTTTTGCTGTTTGAGCTGTGTGCTCTGAAGCTAAAGATGATCGCCAGTAAACTGAAACACTTTACTACCGCGTTAACCAAATACATCCTTCTTTTATGAGATAATATCAGATATACACAAAACAAAAGGTTACAAATGCACAAACAAACAAATGTGACTGTGCTAGTCTTCAAGGTGAATATCTTTGTGGATGCAGTTATCCTATAATTCACTTAAACATGGGCGCACAAAGAATTCACAACATTCTTTTACAGTAATGTTCTCATTATAATTTTATGTAGCCTAGACTATATGACAGACTTGTGATGCTTATGTTGCACTTTACCTTATTTTCCTTTTCTAAGTGATTCCAATCATATTTCAAGCAATTCACATGCGCATCTGAAGTATCTCAGCTGAAAGAAATAATCCATTATTATCCTCTTTAATATATTGGCAAAATTTTCTTATTGGGCCAGTATTGATACCATTAAAAATTAACACTTTCAATTTAGACTTTCCATATCAAATATTAAGTTGGGGATGCACAGTATTTAACCCTAAATATTGCTTTAAAAAAATTAAAACACAAAAAATGTGTGCATCTCTATTTACAAGGGCCTTAAAATTCAGTGTCGCCATTTGTTTCTTACTCATCAATATTGTAACATTTGCATCTTTTTGTGTCTTCTGTGTATGTCTCTCTACGCTATCTGTTTTGTCACTTCTTAGCCTTGTGTATTGTTAGTGTGGGCAACTGACCTCTGACCCCTGATTTTGTGAGAGACCTTAGTATCTGGGTGCCGAAGTCCCATACGCTGGCATGTGGCCTTTGTGTCACCCTAACCTGAGAGAGAGATAGAGCCTAAAGGGCTTGGGGAGCAAAGCAATGTCACCATGTCACATAGCAGCTAAAGTAGAGTGTGGAGGTTTTGTGTATGAACAGAATGAGAGAGAAGAGGGGGAGTATTGCTCCTTTCTCAGGAATGTCTAAATCCAAGCCTGTGTTTGCGGCCAGCGCTGAAGAGTGTGTGTTTGTGTGTGTGTGAGAGAGATAGAGAGAGAGAGAGAGAGAGAGAGGTGGGAGGTGGTTGTGTTTGATCTGTGTTAATCCCCTCTGAAGTTTAACCACTCATTTTCCAGCATGGAGAGCACTCGTATCCTCATGAGCAGTCACTAGAAACCTTCCTGCCAGGTTGTTAATGAAAAAAGGTCTAAAAACAAGAGTGCCTCCCAGTTGATGTAACAGCATCTTGGAGTGTGAGAAGGGGCTATCAGGTTGTCTCTTAAATGGAGAGACAGCTAGTAAAGCAGTTGTCATGTGTCTTTGTGGTAGGGTGCTGTCACACATTGTTGAAACTATAGGCCCTCTTGCTGCTGAGCTGCATGTTAAAGCCTTCTTACCCAGACCTCCCAGCTCTTGGCTAAAAACCTCTTTACTTCACATGAAAGAAGTGCTGGGAGCTTTCTCACTCGCACTATCCTACCCTCATTCCCATTCACAGTGCATTTGTAGTTGTTTTCCATAAAAAGTCTCCTTTATCTCTTCTGAAATATGCATAAAAACATCTTATCGTGACATAATTGCCTTCGTTCTCCATATATCACTCTTTTTTTCTTTTTTTTTTGGTCAAAAGCTGCCGTTCTACCCACTGTTGTTATTGTTAACTAAAAATAAACTAATAAAAAGACTATTAAATATTGTTGTTTTTCAGTGCTTGTGTCACATCAGCTGACTTTTTTTCCCTCTCTTTTTCAGGCGTATGAATGGGCACTAGAGGGCATGCGTCATTTGGCGTGTGTTAGTATGGAGGAGTGTGGCATGTCTGAGAAATGTCAGAGCGTGATCACATGTTTGGAGACCTATCGCACACAGCACCCACCGATCCAAGACGCACACTTCCAGGAGATGAAGGACCTCGCTGGGGAGCTGAAGAGTGAGCAGGGACTCAAGCAGTGGAAGTTCGCCTGGTCCAAGTGTCAGGAGACAAAGCAGATGTTTGAGAAGAAGCTGGAGATGGCCCTGCGCTCCCGCCGCGAGAGCGACACCAAATCAGCAAGGGGTGACTCTTCTCGGCGGAACTCGGACAGTAGCGCTAAACCTCAGGAGCGTAGCAGTAGCATCTCCTTCTCATGTCGAAAAGCGTTCGGCGGTGGCTGGGGTCGGGATAGACTTTCCTCACAGTCCAGCACGTCTTCAACTCCCAGCAGCCCTTTAGGTACACGCCTGGACGCTCGTGACTCTGTCCGAACCCCGACAGGGAGTCTATACAGCATTGAGCACAGAATTCCCCACAACACCCCTGTTAGATCCCACAGGCTAACACGTAGCATCTCCACAGACGAGTCTCCTCAGCAGCCGCATCTGGGGCTGGCGTGTGCTACGAGCCCAAGCCTCACCTCTATTGAACCAAACCGCAGGGTTTTGCGAAAGACCCAGAGCTTCGATACTGCCGGTAGCGAGTCTGTGTCACGGTATGGGACCTGTCAGAGAACTTTGAGTGAGCCTGCACGGAGAGGAAACACAGGGGTGTTCATTAAAGGTCTGGAGGTGAGCAGCACTGAAGTGATCGATCGGCCATACAGCCCGCGACTCCCGCCCATGCATGGATGGTCTTCTCTAGATGCTCACTGCAGTGGGAGTCCTGCTCCCGAAACACGCAGCAAGGGCAGGTGGGTACACTCAGTGCTAACCCACACTCGATTGCTGTAACATAAACAATCAACCAGAGAGGTCCGCAGGTCATCGACTCAACCACATATTCAAGGGTTTTCAAACTTAGCTCCTGGAAACCCCTAGGGACCGTCTGTGGGACAGCAGAATTTTCTAAAAGCACTTTAAGTTTTCTGTTCTTAAACCTGTCTCTCTCAGCAAAACTTAAAGGAAGTATGTGTCTCAAAATAATTTTGCACGTCCCTACACACCTGTATCCATTTCTTCTGCAGAACACAAAAGTAAATCAGAAGAATCTTGGTAAACAAAGAGTTTTAGTTCCCATTAAATTCCAATGAATCTTTTGTACATACTGTTGAGGTCAGTGGGAACCAAAACTGTTTGGTTACCAACATTCTTCAAAATAACTTCTTTAATATCTTAGGAAAGGGTGTAATTTTGCATATCTGGCCATTGATGGCATCAAAATACTTGGAAACTCCTCTATATCTGTACTTACAGTTTTGACAGCAGAACACTCACACAAGACATCCAGAAAAAAAATTCCAGCTAAAACACATACAGACTGAATCTTTTTAGTCTTGCCTCAATAAAGGAACTCTGAATGTCTCCTATTAGATGGTCACAGTACTTAAATTCTCTGAATCTCCATGGATGTCTTTTCCAGCTGTGGTCCTACTGGTCACCCCTTAACCCCCTTGGGAAAGATCCTGAGATGCAGATCACTTTCCCAGGTGGCTGCTGGTCCTCTGGGCTTTGAAGTGGTGGGGGACATGTTTGTGTTCTGTTTTTCCACACAGAAGAGATGGATAGTTATCTGATTATATAGACATCGTAAGGAGGTCTTTACATCTGTGCGTCTTCCTTTCAAAACACATTATTTAGCTTTGCTCTCCAAGATTGCAGTGCAGATGTGATGTTGACAATATCTGCAGACAGTAACTCAAAACAAGGCATTCAGCTGTGTGTGGTCTACTTATTGCAAATATTTAAGGCAGATGAAAACATGCTGATAAGAGCCCAATTGAAAATGAATGTGAAAACTAAAACATCATCTCGTTTTTTTTTTTTTTTTCGGTATTGGACACAGACACCATGTATAGCTGTGTGGTGAGAAGGATAGTATAGAGATAGTATGTAAATATGTGCTGCACGCTTTCCTCTCAACAAAATAAACACAACACAGAACAAAATTAAGGAAACAGCATGTATTTTTTAAAATAAAGCATAAGCATCTGATGATAGCTATGTGGATAATATGCTAGCACAAGCTCTGCAATTCGGCACACCAGTAAAGTCACGTCATGTTTATTTAGAACACTTTATAAAATAGATTGCTTAAATTCAAGCAGCTTTACCTTATTAAACATGAAAAGCAGTGTCAGTGTCCATTTCATGTTTCAGTGTCCATTCCATTCCATTTTCGAAGTCCAACTTCATTTGTTATTTGCATGTGTATTTACCAGCCGTATCAAACTTTTCCAGAAAGTTTGTTTTTAATAGCAAGCTGTTTTGAACTCAAAAAACGAACTTCGGCCGATTTTGTTTGAAATAACGTCACATCAGTTCGTTCTTCGATTTTGCTTAAAGTATAATGGTATCTTAAAGGACCTGCAAGACAATCAGAAGACAGGTGATCTATGCCTGTCAGAGATTTTGAGCATTCAGACTTAAAGTCATCAGTTTAACATGTCTATGGATGGAGGATTTTTTGGAGAGAGTTGAAATAAAGAGTTAAACTTTGTGTTCAATGTGCTCTGAAAATTGTATCTCATTTGATGTATATTAACTGTTCACTCTCTTTGTCACTCAGTAAACTACGCCACATTGTTGATGAGATGGTCACAACCGAGCGGGAATATGTACGCTCTCTGCGGTACATCATTGATAACTATTTCCCTGAGATGGAGCGCGCTGACCTGCCTCAGGATCTGCGGGGGAAACGCAGCGTCATCTTCGGCAACCTAGAGAAATTAGTGGACTTCCACAGCCAGTATTTCCTCAAAGAGCTGGAAAGCTGCTGCAACCATCCATTACGTGTCAGCCACTGCTTCCTACGACATGTAAGAGAAGTCCCTTTACACTCTCTTCACAGTAACTTTCATCAAAATGCATGGTCTGTTTTTTCTATAAATTCTTATTGTTCTGATGTTTGCTGGACTTTTCTAATAGTTTTAAAAGTGGTCATTCAGGGATGCTGAATTACATTTTCATTGGAGATGAAACAAAGGGGCTTTATTTGTCAGTGTTTTGTCTGTTTCCAGTCTATGACTGGCTCATTTTTGTCTAAAACCATCCAGAATTTACTTATTCTGTATATTCCTTTTCTCTTTCGTTCACCCTCCATAAAATCAAACTGAGCCACGAGTAATGATTCTGAGGTCTTTAAATGAGTGCAAGACCACCAGCCTACATTCTTTGTAGTTGTGGTCAACACATAGTGCTGGCTCCCCTTAAAAGCTTTACTATAAGAAGCTTTCCCAAAGACAGAGAAAAAGACACAAAGGCAGGCCGCTTGGCCTACAGCAGTGTGTGAACTAGGCCGAAATCGTTTTTAACATGTTTTTGGCACAGAAAAACCTGCACTGAATGAAATTATGGCACACTCTATATGAACCTGAAAGTTATATATTGATTTACCCTTTTCAAACAAAACTCAACCTGGACAAAGGGAAGAGAGAAGTTCTCAACGAGAGAATTTTTTCTTCAGAACATGGATTTGGAAATTTGGATGATACCACTTCAAATATTGCTCTTTTGTGCTTTTTTTCCTTGTGAACATATAGCAAGACCAGTTTAGCTTGTATGCTTTATACAGCAAGAACAAGCCAAAGTCGGACACACTCCTGGCCAGCCATGGAAACAGCTTCTTTAGGGTGAGCAACTGGATCCATACTACACTTTAGACCACCTATGATAAACTTTTAGTTTAGCCTCTTTTAATCTCATTCATTTCATCTCACCTCATGGCCTGAGATTGTAAAATCAGAGTCTCTCTCATTCCAGCATAAGCAGCTGGAGTTGGGGGATAAGATGGATCTGGCGTCGTACCTGCTGAAGCCCATCCAGCGCATGAGTAAGTACGCCCTGCTGCTGAAAGACCTGAGCAAAGAAGTGAGCGAGGTCCAGGAGCAGGAGCTAACATACCTACGTGCCGCCACCGAGATGGTCAAATTCCAGCTTCGCCACGGCAACGATCTGCTCGCCATGGACGCCATCAGAGACTGTGATGTAAGTGTGGATGGCGCAGCAGTTATGCACTACACTTCACGTAGAGAAACATAGGAATATTCTCTTCTAAACTGCCATTGCATAATTTTTCACACACTCTTCCAGGTGAATCTTAAGGAACAGGGACAATTAGTTCGCCAAGATGAGTTCACGATTTTGTATGGCAGGAAGAAGTGCCAAAGACATGTGTTCCTGTTTGAGGATCTGGTGCTATTCAGCAAACCCAAACGCATTGAGGGTGGCCTAGATGTTTACATATACAAACACTCTTTTAAGGTAAGCGCCTAAAATTCATCAGAAGTTCTGAGGAACAAGAAACATCTCCATAAATGAAAACACAGCTTCAACACACTTTGCTGCATGCATTATGACTTAACCCTCTGGGGTTTGGCTATCGCACAGGCGCGACGAGCTCACTTTTTTTCCTTGTCGGTGCAAAAGAGACTCAAATTACTCTGTTGATTTTGATCTTACCTTTAACTGTTAAGTGTCTATTTGTAGATACTCACAATAAAAACAAAGTGTTCTGCTTTTTGTCAAATGAAGAAAAATAAACATGATGCGAATTTTGCCTCAGTGAAGTTCATTCTGAAACGCTTCCGAAAATGACCTGTAACTAAGTAAATACTTGTCACACAGGCACAAAAGATTTTTTTTTTTTTGTGAAGCTGTAATTCTCTTTTTTTAAAAGAAGTAATTTATATAAAAAACAAATATTCTCAGTTTATGTAATCTGTATAAAAAGAGAGAGATGTCAGTCTTTTACCTTAAAGCTAATTATAGCTTAATGTGACTACGCCCACTGAGAGAGCGCCATTCAAATGCACACAAATGTTGAGGCAAGCCATGAAAACGGCCACATCAGCTGGATAAAACATCCAGTTTAATAATTCCTCATCTTGCTGCGCTGTGAGGAATAAAACTATCGTAATAATCCTGGTAAAGTTACCTCCGAAGTGCTGGTAGTTTCATTTCGAGGAGCACGAATTCAGCTGATGCAGTGAGTTATGTATTCTTAAGTGATATGTTCTAATCGCGTTATCGAATAGTGTCCGTACACTGCACAAAGTCTGTGTGGGAATGAATGAATGGCATACTACAGATGTACATCGCATCTGTGCGTTCTGCAATATCAAACCCTATTGCTATAGCCTACTGAGATTTGTTCTAGTCGCGATATAGAATAGTGTCTGTAATGATAACTATATAGCGGCCACAACATATGTTTATTATAACTAGGCACTATTGTTATGTTGTCTGTTGCTTTAAATGCTCAGTTCTGATTGGCTTGCAATGTTTTTATCATTCATCAGCTAGAAAAAGTGCTGAAAGTGAATCCAATGATATTGTTTCTCTTTCACTGTTATTGTTTTTGTGGTGGTATGGACTCTGTTATCGTCCTTGGTGTGAAAGGATCTTTACACTACTTTATTTTATCAATACACTCACATTCTTTTATTATATTTCCTCTGACCAATGTTAATATAAACAGAAGGTTTTAGTTTAAAGATCTGAGAATCAGGTCGGTCTCCTCTAAGCCATGATAACAAAAAAATGCCATTAGCCCTCAATATTGATTGTGATTAAATGTTGAATATCCTCTACCCTATCATTCTCTACGTAGACCGCTGATGTGGGTATGACAGAGACATCAGGTGAGAACGTTCTGAGGTTTGAGGTTTGGTTCCGGAGGAGAACTTCAAAAAACCAGACCTACGTTCTCCAGGCCAGCAATGCAGACGTCAAACACGCCTGGACCTGTGACATCGCACGGATACTATGGCAGCAGGCCACACGGAATAAAGGTAGGAAAGAAAATACTGAAGTGGCTGAGCTTGAGTAAGTTCTTTGAATTTGTTTTGTTCATCTAGCTGGAAAGAACAAATGAGAATGATAGGATAATTGCAGATAATATCTCCTGTCACATACCATCTTAGCATATTTAAAGATTTTTTCAGCAGTTCATCTGTGAAGGCCTCAGGCAGATATTTAAAACACTTTTGAATCACACCAGTATTATATTTCTACAGTTGGAAAAAAAAACATGCAGATCTGAGGCATTGTGTTACTTGTATTTGCACCTATTTACTCAAAAACACATTTAACGCTTTCTATGCATTTCTTCATCTTAATGTCAACATGTTTGTGTTTATTCTGAATTTAGAGCTGTCACTATCACCTTTTTACTACATGATAATTGTGCTAAAAAGAATTCACAATAATATTGCAACATCTAAAATAATTTTCAAATAAATAAACAATGCAATCAGTCAAATTCATCTTTAACTTTATTTAGTATTTTCTCGTTTGTATTTTGGCGAATGAATCACACTCAATATACCATTTTAAATATCACATTATCACCAATGCCAGTATATTGTAACACTCCTATTCTGATAGTTGTCATAGCAGCATTTTCAAACGTTAATATTATAAACGTGTTTGCAGAAATTCGAATGCAGGAGATGGTCTCTATGGGGGTGGGCAATAAACCCTTTCTGGACATTAAACCTAGCGATGCTGCTATCAACGACAGAGCCATAGACTACATCATGAAAGGCAGAGGTGAGCCTGTTTAACATGAAATAATCATCAGAATAACTTGCTAAATTCTTCTTTTTTTTAAATGAGCAGCAAATGATTCTCTGGCTGGATTTTACTAGCATCATCTCTTCTGTTACAGGGGCCAGGACGAGAGCATCCATTGCCGTATCGCTGTTTGACCACTCAAACCCGTTTAAACGAGCTGCAGTAAACGCCCCTGTTAGCGGCCCCCCGGTGGCTGGTGGCCCCTCCTCTTCCACTCTGCTGGGGCCCTTAAATCTGCATATGTATAGCAGCCAAAGCCTGTTAACAGGGGAGAGACCTCTCATCAGCCCCTGCATCGAGGAAGACGAGCTGGAACATGAGACCAGCAGTCAGCCGTCTATGAGTATGTATTATAACATGTTTGAAAGTGTGAACGTCTTCTCAGAAGCCTCATATAACGTGCGACTTGTCCGTGTTTGTAGCTACAGAGAGCTCGGGTTCCTCGTCTCACTGTCTGTCTGGTAGTGGCTCGAGCGGGTCAGACAGCGGATGTGTGTCCAGTCACCTTCCCGAGGCTTTGTCCGAGGAGCCCAGCTCACCATGTGACTCCTCCTGTTACTCCTCCATCACCTCTCCAACGCAAGAGAAAGCCTGCTTTAACAGCCAGTACATCTCAGCGGTTAGTATTACGTGTGTGCATTTCAGATGGCCAATATTTTGATCGCACATCGTCATGTCCGCATCAAATGATGCAGAAACGTGCCGTAACACCCATGCTTATGCTAGCACTAATGCACACGCTCAGGAAGACACTGATCCCCTGATGATCAAGTGAGAGCCTCCCCTTTAACCTGTGATAACCCCTGCGCCCATGTCCTTCTCGTCACAGGGGGAAACACAGGTGATTGGTCCCTCTACTATAGTGTGAGCTCAGTAACCACTGCTGCAGTAAGTTTGGCTTTTGCTCTATGACATCACATTTCCACAGCTATGTGCATGTGCATTAATACAGTCATCTCAGCATATTGAAAATATGATTCATGCTTTAACTAGGAGCTTTTACACATATACATGTTATTCTGTTCTGCTTTGTCCTGTAGGTTTAAGACCCGTCTGCTTCAGATTGAGAGGACAACGTTGCCACACCGAAGAGGAGTACAGAGCTAGTATTTATTGTTCCTACTGAGTGCAAGCAAATCTCTTACAGAGTTTAAAAAGCACTCGAAATAGCACTGTTTCTCTTTTTCTTTTTTTAAGCCACTTTTAGCTTCAATAGCTTTTATATAAATTTAAAAATGATCTATAAAAGTGAATAAATATTCTTGTATTTATCTTCTTTTCAAATGTTAAGATACAGTAGTGTTCTCAGATGTATTAATAACTGTAAATACTGTAGTAACGTACAAAACACTTCTCTCTTGCGGTTATTCAGTTCCCACTTTTTCTCGTTGTTGTTGCCCACTTTGCTGCAGACTTAAGCTGGTTTGATTTAGAAAAATGCCCTAATGTTAAAAGGCATGTTCTGAGCATCAGTTACACTAAAGGTGTTAAGCAGTGTTTAAAGCATTTGTTGTAGAGTTTCTGCTCTTTCTAGCGTTTCCATGGTTTTTTGGGCCTGAGGTCAGTGTGCGGTGGAAACAGTTTTTGTTAGCTGCCTTGATCCAGAATAAGAGAGCATTAATTCAGATCATACGACTGACCTCAGGTCAGCTCTGCCCTGCACTGCTGCTTCTGGGTGCTAGCTATTGCTGCTACCTTTTTGGAAATGGAAGAGTTTTCATTTCAGTTCTTATTTACATTAACAAGTATAACAAAAAAAACAACATGTAAATTGTAAATAGTTGCGCCAGTGGTGCTTTAAGGACATAGCGTTTAGAAAGTAATCTTTATACATGTATTAACCAGTCAACATGGGAATCACTTAAGTGCCATTCTTTGTTGCCAATTTAAATTGTAAGTGTACAAACAAAAGATAATAAAAAAAGGCATTGCAAGTTCCACTTCTAGCTGGAGCATATGCTCCAGCTAGAAGTGGAACTTGCAATGCCTTTTTTATTATCTTTTTTATGCCTTTTTTATGCCTTTTTTATTTTTTATTATCTTTTGTTTGTACACTTACAATTTACAACACTTACAACTCAAGCGTTTCATTTTTCAATCTTAAGTTCCCTCAGAAGTAATAAAGACAGATTGCTTTGTTTGTACCGATAACGGAAGTGTGTTTTATTTATTGTCTTTAATCTTCCATGATTGGCATGAAGTAGAGAGACGTATCTCACAAACCCTGAAGGCTGGTATTCAATTTCTTCACACCGACTGAGCTAACAAACAGAGTCATTGTTACTAATGATAGACTCAGCCTTGGGGCCAAGCAGTATGTGGTTTAAATGCATGTAAACTCACGCAGTGCGAGTAATAATGTTCAATTAATTTTACTGTACCGTTTTAGCCTTAGGGACATTGCCACCAATAGCCTTTTCACAGTAACTCTTTGTGAATGACTTGTGGAAAGCGACTGTACTCTCTGTTGGCCATACATTTTTTATTTACATATAGGCCTATGAGATGAGCAACAGACATGTAGTCTGTGCCAACTGTTTACTGTGGCTCTGAAATTACCTAGTTCTGGCATGAAAGTCTAGATGGTGCAGGCTGATATCTAACTCATTTGGTAGCGATCACATCATTATCTACATAGCACAGCTGTGTATGTTATCTACATAACATAGCCAATGAGCTGCGGCTCAACATTCAAACAAAATCCACATTCCGGTTGGTGTTGTCTTCAGCACACTTTTAGAAACCCTCCACCATCCCCAGCTCCACCTGAATAGGTCTGCTGCGGGGGTTATTTCATATATGTTATATATGCAGCAGCAACATTTCTTACATGCTCACAGCAAAATCTGTAAATGTTTTGGCAGTAGCGAGTCTCTTGTACTTCCTCTGCAGTTGCATCAGCGTAGCAGATCTATCCCGCCAAGACCAAACACATTAACACTGCCATATCCATTACAATACCAATCTCCCTAGAGTTATCATGACAGAATTATTGATACCTTCAACCACAATTTTCTTTTTTGTGGCCTTTCTTACTTCTCTGCAAAAAAGAAGAAAATACATTGATCTTTCATTAATAATTTTAATTTTAAACTAAAAACATATCAGAATGGGCTTCCAGATATTACATTTTTCATTCAAATTCTTTTTAAAAATAGACTAGATTTGCTACAAACCCTTGAGTTCACTCTGGTGGAGTCAGGCATTCCCATCAGAAAAGTTTGGCATTTGCTGGCCAACATCATCTCCTTGTGAGAAAAACTGAAGTATGCAAAGGCCACATCTGGGCAGGGAGATACAAAGTTAAGTTGTTTTGCATGTAGGAAATGACAGAAATTTTCCAGTGTTTTTTTTGTTTTTGTCCATACACGGATGGAAACCACAAACCCGAGAGTGGAGTGAAAGTCAATGAAGCATAATTGGTTGAATCATTCACAGCGTGTGCATGTCAGTATGATGAGCTTTGAGTGCTCCAGTGAGGCTGCATGTGTTGGTTTATTGTCTCTCTCACCTAGAATATTTTGCACCATCAACCTTTAATGGTATTACTGCCAAATCTAAACTTGCAGAAGTGGGAAAAGCTGGATATTAACAATGGAAACATTACTGATTCATGTCAAATTTAACACACATATCCAGGCTGTCATTAGTACACATATCCAGGCTGTAATGACTGATTATCTATCCACACACACACACACACACACATATGAATATCTATATATGAATTATATATAATATATATATATATATATATATATATATAATAGATATTCATAAAACAGAATCCCTACACCTAGCCTAACTCAAATCTTAAATATAACACATGCCACAATTAAGATTACCATTGTGTGGAATAAAAGGTTTATCTCTGTGTCATACTATTTATTCTTTTCTTTTTCATTTATCTGCAAATCTGTTTCCAAGTTTTATGGTGCACTGGGAGATGATCAACCCGTACTACAAATCCCCCAGCAGGTGGCGCACAAGCATCCATCTCTGCCTCATCTGTAGTGATTTTTTTTTATACATTAGATTAGCATATGATACACTGGAAATAACATACCGGTAAGTCAGAAAAACTTCTATACCCTAATCTGGGTGTTGGCATCGTTTTAATAAATAGAATTTGCACCATATAAAGAGAGAAGAGAGTGTTATATAGCCTACTGTTGGTTGATGGATCGGGTGAGAAACTGACTACGGCTCATCTGAGAACTTTCATTACTGTGAGATGTTCATATATTCCCAATAAATGGCATGAAGAAGAATAATTTAAAAAAAACATTAATACATGTATTCATTGTATTTAAAAACAATTACAAACACAGTAGGCACCTTGATGAATTTGACGTCAAAAGTTAGTCGAGACTTGATCAAGATGCTGCATATCATTTTAAGGTCAGTTTGAAAGGCAATGTCTTTCAGTGGTAATTTTAGGTGAAAAGAGAAAGTTAATAACCACACTGAAATTGGTTTAAAGTATGATTATAAATTAAATAGCATTTTTTTATTAACTGAGGCATTGAAACTCGTCTCATTTTGGTCTGTAGGGTCCGTTTTATCGAGCTTTTGGGATTTTTTTTTTTTTTTTTTTTATAACAATTTTGGACTGTTTTCTAATTTTATTAATTTTATCTGACAAGTGATGAAAGTGTTAGTGTATGTGAATTCAATCTTTGGAGCATTTTATTACTTTTGTGTCGTTATTTTGGTTGAGAATATGACATTGGTATGTGGATGTCAAATTGATGTCAAGGTTTGACGTCCGTTTGATTTTCATATTTTACCTGTTTTTTGACGTCAGTGTTTAACATTAATTGGATGTCTTTTCAACATCAATTACTTTCACACACAAAGACACATCAGTTATTTCCATTATATTCTTTTTTTAGGACCTTAAAAGTACCATAGCATACTGGTTAAAGCCAAGGTGGGCCTCTTTATCCAACGGAGTCATCGGACTCATATATGCGCTCATTTCTCTAGGTGACAGACTGCTGTTGCATATCAGGCTCTCCAAATAAAATCTGGAGCAGGTGGCTGAGGCTGTGCCAATCTAGAGAGCAACAAGTTATTAGCAGCTGTTGCCTGTTGGATATGTGCATGGTTCCCAGGTGATGCTTCTGACGCCTCATCTGTTCAATCTCTGTCCGGTGCCACCATCTTTTCACACTTATAGGATGTGTAAGAAAAATCAAACATGGAAAGTGGAAAACTAACATATGCTGTTGCCCCGAGTGTGTGTTAGAGGTCTCAGTGGAGAGGAGAGCACAGTCTGGACCCTCCAAAATGAGGTTGTTCACTTCCAATATGTCTTCCAATATGTTTCATATTTTAATCACTGGATTATGAAAATAGGTATTATCATATGGTTTTAAAATGTAATTTGTATTTATTTATTTGCCCAATGAAGGAATATTGGCATATATATATATATATATATATATATATATATATATATATATATATACTGTATATATATATATATATATATATATGGGCTATATATATATATATATATATATATATATATATAAACATACAAGCTTGATAAAATAATTCTAGAAGAAAATTTCAGATGGCACTAAGAGGCTTTTGCATCTTAAGTCTTCATATATATATATATATATATATACACCGTTATTGATATTGAAGTAAGCATGCATAAGGAATTAGGCATAATTATATGAATAAATAATGATTTTGTGCTGGTAAACAAGTTAAATAAAATAATTTAGTTTATATGGTTAAATGTTCATTTTGGGTACACTATTGCTAATTTTCTTTTATCGCTAGTCTATTTTATATCACTGCTTAACTGTTCGTTTACATTTTACCTGTAGATTTTCAGGTACTGTACATTTATTGTTCAAGAGGGATGATGTTAACAGCACATAGGCTATGGCCTATTAATATCAAATTTAAGTAAAATAACAAAATCTATAATAAATGCTCCATTTTTGTATAAAATACCTGAATGAAGGACCTAGACACTGAAATGGTCCTGGATCAGGAAGTCCTTCCTCATCTGAAGAAAATTAGCAGGAATGAACAAAAACATAAAGGCCTACGTCATGTCTGCACTACCCCCATGCAGGTTGCATAACTCTTTCTGCGAGTTTAAACTCTCAGTCAGCATTAAGGGTTACATGGAAAGAATGCATATTTTCATAAATGTCTAAATCCATCAGTCAAATGCGTCAACAAATGAAATGACTATATAAGGGGAAGTCTTTCACAAACGAATATGCATTGAGGTTTAGCTGGTGCTGTATATATGAAGTATGACCAACAGATGGCGCTACTGTCACAGTCACGTTCACATGCACACGGACTTCATGCTGTTGTTTTGACGGCTCCGGTTGTTGAGCTGACTTCTGTGCGTAAGAAATGTTTTTATTTTTTTGACTTAAGATTTTCCAGAGTTTTTCGAATTTTATTAAAAAAAAAAAAATTCTTGATTTGGTATTTTTTTGGTTCACCAAAATAACTCCTCAAAACGTCCCATATGTGCATCTAGTAGACCTTAATGACCCTCAACCTTTGATTGAAGTAGGCTATTCAATGTTCGTCTGGTATGAATTGAGGTTTAGAAATGTTTAGAAATATATTATTTATCCCTAAAATGTATGAATTATAGTCAAATAAAAAGTGTGCTGTTGTTGCAACCTGCTACCACTGCTAGAATGTAACATTATAGAACTTAAAATTGTGCAATGATTTAAATAAAATTAGAATTTTAAAGTATTCAAAATAAGAGTACTACTTTGTAAATTAGATTATGCTAGTTTTGACATTTAACACATTACATGATTTCAATTTTAAATTGTAACTCCAGACATGAAATGGTATATTCTTGATTCCTTTTTTCCTGTAAATGATTTTACAGAGAAACCACTGTCATCTCAGAAGGGTGTGCTGCATGGGTGATAGTGATAGTGACACCTCATTTCAAGTTAACTGACAGTGTGTAATAATAACACTCCCACTGTAAAAAAAAAATATTTTCATGATTTGTAATCACAACATTTTTTCTTTTGTCAAATCAACTTAGATCATTTATGTAGTTCAGATAACATACTATTTTGAGTTTCAATCTCCAATTTTTCCATTTCAATGAAATTAAAATTTGTAGGCAACCAGGTTACTTATTTTTTAAGATAAACCAACAATATTTTTTACAGCGTGGGATCTCTTTTGGTTTCAATTTGTAGTTAGTTAAGGTTCTCACCCTTATCAATCTATGTTCTGCTTATTCATATTTCAGTTTCATATTGACAGGTTAAATTTTAGAATACCGAAAGTACAGTACAGCACAACACAATAACAAAGTAATGATTGCTGTACTACAGGCAAGGCATCTGATTTGGCTCTTCCTTTTTCTGTGAAACGAATCATGTTCATTGGAAGGCTGCTTTGCGTAAGCTAAATATATGGAACAAAAAGCAAGGAGTTTCAGTCAGAACTCTGATTCACTGAAACCAGAGACAAATATGAACAGCTCCTCTCTCCATACTGTCAATGACACGGCACTGGAAGACTGGTCATCTGCAGGGATCACCGCAGCCTGTGTGATCCTGGGCATGTGCTTCCTGGTGGGGACACCTGGGAACCTGCTGGTGGCGTGGACCATCTTGAAGTATGTGAAACAGCGCTCTCACACGGTGTTGCTCATCCTCCACCTGGCAGTCGCAGACCTTCTGGTGCTGATCACGCTGCCGCTGTGGATCTACTCGCTGGCCCGTTCCTGGGTGTTCGGAGAGGCCGTCTGCAAAGCCATGGTGTACATCATCAATGCCTGCATGTACAGCAGCGTCTTCATCATCACCATCATGAGTGTGGGGCGCTTCCTGGCGGTCAGGTACCCTTTGAAAATGCTGAATTGGCAAAATAAGACATCCATGTCCAAAATACTGGCAGTGACCTGGATCCTGTCATTCATTTTGGGGATTCCGGTCATCCTGACTCAGGATCTAGATGTTGATGACAATGGATTGAAACACTGCTTGTCCCGGGTCTACAGCTCTGTGTCTTTTGAAGTGTTTTGTATTTGTTTGGAGACTCTTCTTGGCTTTATCATTCCATTTTTCACACTCGCCATCTGTTACTGTCAAGTTGCCACAGACCTACGCAAGGTGCGCTTTAAGATAAAGCAGAAATCCATCTTCCTCATTGGTGGAGTGGTCGTGGCCTTCATTTTGTGTTGGTTACCCCACCACGTCCTCAATATCACAGGGATGGTGGTTCTTCTAGAAGGACAGTTAGATGAACCGTCTCCTATCCCAAATAGCGTTGTCTTCATTTCTGGAGCTCTGGCTTTTATCAGTAGCTCAGTGAACCCTGTGCTTTATATGTTTGCTTCCAGAAACTTCCATGGAAATCTAAGGAAGTTTGGGATAGTAAAGCTGTTTCAAGACTTAGGAACACAAACAGGCCAAACAAGAGAAGGCTTCTTACAGGTTTCTGGACTGCAGAATGGAAATATCCTGGAAGAACAAACTAATGGTGAAACTCGTGAACTTGTGGATCTCTGAGTAACTCAGAAGTATAGTATTTTTTTTTAATGGTCAAATTTATTTAAACGCCATAATCAAGTTGTTTTAAATGTATTGTTTTTTTATTGAAGAGATGTTCCAATTACTTTTGGGAAACTCTCCCCTGGATGCCATTCTCCCAGAAATTTTCTTAAGAGTTACAGTATATACATTTTGTGTCACTCACTATACCACTCATTGCTGGGAAGAGTTACTTTTAAAAGTGGATTACAATATTGAGTTACTCCCTAAAAACATAACTAAGTAAGGTAACATTACTTTTCATTTACTTTCTCTCATCTGGACTGGGCTTGCTTGTTTGATTTTAATGATAAAAAAGTGATATTTTTGTCAAATCTAAAGGCCCTTTCACACCTAAAGTGAAATTGCTAATTCTGAAACTGAATAAAATGCAAATTCACACTTGTACAGTAGTACTGGATTGCAGAAGAATAAGACACAGGAAAAGCAAGTTAAACACATTTAGTTATTACAGGTTTGCTTATATTCTAAGTTTGCATTTCACTGATTTTATTAATTTTGAGGAATGTCTAATTATTTAGTGCAAGAGAGATGAGTAAATGGCTGCTCACGTTTCGTCTAGAAGTACAATAACTGTCATGTTTACTCAGTGCATACAACACCTCTGCATCTGACCTACGATTTCCCTCAACAAACGGACAGGAAAGGTTTCAGTCAATAAATGGGAAAATAAAGTAACTTCCGTTGGTTTTTTAAAAATTAACTTAATATTTTGTTGTAAATTTAAAAGTAATCCATCACTTCACCAGTTACTTAAGAAAGTAATCTGATTACAGTATGTAACATAGGCCTACATTGCTTGTAATGCATTACCCCCAACACTCCCACTGATGATGTAACAATTTAAAATACATTTTCATTCTTTTTAAATGACTGCATTTCAATAATTGTATTTGGAAAAAGAAAAAAAAATTCCATGAGACACATTAATAATCTGGAGCAAAATTAGACTTGACCAAATACCTTCGAAATGTGTGAGTGTGAACTGCAATTTAATCATCTTTCTAAAGAATCACTTAGTCTGAATTCAAAGATGCACCTCCCATTCTCACACACATTTTGGTTGTCTTTTTTATTAGACAACCAGATGTTTTTCTTTTCTGTGTTTGAGAGTTCTGTTTTCCTTAGTTTTCACAGAAGGGAAGTGAGATTTGCTGAGGCAGACTGGTTTTCTAGCTCAGTGGTTAGACTTGTAGCAGACTCGAACGGACCAGAGAGGCGATCATGAACGCGACGGCTTTTCTTCAGGGAGATGAGGAGACCGAACTGGGCTTGGTGGGGGCCTGCGTGATCCTGGGCATGTGCTTCCTGGTGGGTACACCCGGGAACCTGCTGGTGGTGTGGACCATCTTGAAGTATGTGAAACAGCGCTCTCACACGGTGTTGCTCATCCTCCACCTGGCAGTCGCAGACCTTCTGGTGCTGATCACGCTGCCGCTGTGGATCTACTCGCTGGCTCGTTCCTGGGTGTTCGGAGAGGCCGTCTGCAAAGCCATGGTGTACATCATCAATGCCTGCATGTACAGCAGCGTCTTCATCATCACCATCATGAGTGTGGGGCGCTTCCTGGCCGTCAGGTACCCTTTCACCTCAATCCGCTGGAGGAAACAAGCACTGAACAGGATACTTCTAATAATATGGATAGCCTCATTTCTCCTCAGTGTTCCCGTCATTGTAACTCACACTTTGGGAGAAATTCACGGACAACAACAGTGTACTTTCAGGGAGTACAAGTCGGACATCCAAGAGGCTGTGTTGCTTATTTTAGAAACTCTTATAGGCTTCATCATCCCCTTTTTCACCATGTTGGTCTGTTACGGCTGCCTCTTTAGTCGCATAGCGCAGATGAACTTCAAGTCCAAGCGTAAATCGACAGTTCTCATCTGCAGTGTGGTTGTGATGTTCGCGCTCTGCTGGATTCCTCATCATGTGGGGAACTTCCTTTCCCTCATCTCACTTGCTCTCAAGCATTCAAACCCAAACATGGCAGAAACTTTGGAGGACGCCTGCAGCACAATGACCATCATAGCAGGAGCCTTGGTGTTCATCAGTAGCTCAGTCAATCCAGTGCTTTATGTGTTTGCCGCACGTTCCTTCCGCAGCTCGCTCCGGGAAACTGGAATACAGAAGCTGTTCCAACATCTGTCAAGTTCAGCGTCTGGTGAAGGGAATAAAGAGTTATCATTCGTGTCCAAAAGACAAAGTTCACACTCCACCAACTCACAATGTCTCACAGACTCAAAACTGCCTGAAGATGTGGCTGTGGAATCATGCATCAGTACCTCAGATTGACCCTGTAAGAAGCTTTATACCCATAACATTTTCAAATTTAACCAAACAAATGGAACTCATTTTCAGTCAAATATTTGATTGTGCCTTGTTTTTTTGTGTTTACTGTGTATACTCACTGAGACTCACTGCAACTGCAGATTCTACAATGAAAACACTTTAACATTTGTGATATAACTCAAATGCCTTTATAAGTGTTTATTTGGTATTAATGCATATGATTCCAACATGTTCCTTTTTCTCATATTGCAACGTGTGTGTTTGTGTCTCTTTTAACGGTGTGAAAGAGGAAGTGGGAATTAAAAGGAACAGAGGTCATTCTGGAAGATACCATCTGTACTGAAATGTTATTCTTTTCTATAATTCTTCGTTCATGCTTGAATTAAACATCAGCTATTTTTTAAAACCCTTAAAATGTACATATCTTGCGTAGGCCCACTTTTCAAATCAGAAGAAAAACTCACCAGGCTGTTACTTCCACTGTGAAATCGTTACTTGACACATTTTAGTGACAGACCTTTATTGGTATTGAAAAGAAAAACTTTTTTAATGTTTTACATTTTTGAAAAGCCAAAATTATTGAATTCCTACCTGAGTAGGTGACATGAATGATGCTCGCCTTGACCTGTGGTTCTACCTTTCTCTCTCTTTTACAACACAAATATCATGACTGAAAGAATCAGCTCAGCTATTGCTCCAGAGAGAGAAACCAGAGAGAGAAGGAGGGAGATGCTTGACTATCTGAGTCTAGCAGGCATGTAATCTTCACCTATTTGGCACGCTATGGAAAAGTGAGTGGACTGGTAGACAAAGATTTTCTGTCTGTTTTTTTTTTTTTGTCCAATTAAATTACTGACACGGGCACACAAGAGCACTTACACGTGGTTGCAATGAATACATATATTCATTTACTTGATTTAAACCTCCTTATGTCTTCGTGTCATGTTGCTCCAGCATCTTAATTGCGTTTACAGGGATAATTGATCTGGGAACATAAAAAAATGACTTTATGTTGTGTCCTCTCATTCCCTGAGCCGTTTTAGGGACATAACAATAATATAAACAAAACTCAGATCTTAACACAGTTGCTTCAATAGAAACTCCAGGAGCCAATCATATGTTTGATCTCCCAAATTATTAGGCTATTTATTAATTGATTTTTTTTCTGTGCCATTCAATAACATACTGTCATGACTTATATATATTTTTTGTCTTTTATTTGCTATCATTTGACATTAAAATGGTTTCTTTTTCTTTTGTCCTGTTGTGATTTCTTTGTCATCCTACATAGCTGATAATTGTTTTTTTGTTTGTTTGTTTAGAGAGAAGCTGAACTCAAAAGCATTACATGATCAAGAAAAAACAGGCTATATTAAGAAGCAAAATTTGACATTAATTGTTCAATTTACTCAAGTTTACTCAAAAAACAAACAAACAAAACAACAACAACTATGTAGCCTAGTGGTTTACAATGTTTCTGGCATCGAATCCTTCCGGCATATTGTAGTTGCAAGGTGCAATGAGTTAGACCCGCCTCCAAACGTCATATCAAATAAGTGAATTGTGATTGGTGGTTCAATGTGCCAGTCAAACTTCCCCTTCAGAACTGCAAAAGAAAATGCATAACTAGAATAAACAAACGCATGAAGCACAATTCATGTCGATAGTCTAAAACCTTGACTTGTGAGATTATCAGCCAATTGATTTGTCTAGTAGTGAGAGTGGCAGAGGAGAGTATTGGCAGATTGTGAAATGTTATAAGCGCATTGGGCATATCTAAAATAAAACTTTTAATGATTAAAGACTTTATTTAGGCAACAGATATGGCGGGGGAATGTCCATATCACTTAAACACTCGTGAACACTCGCGTTTTAAAAATAAGCAATATTCTACTGTTTATTTCTAAAAACGTAAAACTTAGTTAAAACATTGAGTGCATTTTTTTTAACTAGTAGCCTTGCCTACGTATTAAAAAAAACAGAAGATAAAGTTGGCTGGCTAAACAGCACAGCTTTAGGTGTGTGTAACAGCAAAGCACAGGACAGAGTGAATTCTGATCTTATCTCCCACTTCCTAGCGCATATAAACCAATCCGAGCGTGTTACATAGGTTCCGTGGTAATACGCCCCGCCCTCACCTTTACAAACCAACCAATCAACGTGCTCCCTCAGGAGATTGACTCCAAACAGGGAGGCCGAACCAAAACCAGGTAACCAAGAAAAAACGAGACAGCGAGAAAAGCCTTCAGGGCTTGTTATGGGGTAGCGTGAGACGAACCAGGACTTTTTTCCTGCCTTCTTTACCAGTCAAACCAGTAACTCTGGATAGAGAACACACAAGTACAGCAACAGGTAGAGTCTCGTGCCGCACTCTCTCTCGTGTCCTTCTCTTGGAGTAATCTTCTGTCCTTCCTCGTGTACTTCAATTGAATTTCCATTTCTTTTGTTTGCTTCTCTTGGAGAAAGGTGAACCCTCGTGTTACTGTTTTATTTGATCTTTGCTCTTAATTGTAGTTTTTACCCTTGTGGTCCCTGATGGCTTCGCACAGTGATACTCTGGTGGTGTTCTTTGGGGCAACAGCTGGTGCAAATGGGGGTAAACTGGGGTCGGATGAAAGGGAATTAATTCTCTTGGTGTGGCAAATTGTGGATCTACATGAGAATAAGGTACGGACCTTTTGACCCTGATGTGAGGTCTCTAACTTTAAACTACCCACAATGTGCTAGTATTAGAAACCACCTTGACAGCTGACATTCACCAACCAGGTGCGCTTTCAGAAACTTAAATGCGCTACATTTTGATTTACATTATATTCAACAGCTGTTTGATTTGACGATCTATTTGACAGCTTGATTAGAGCATTATAATGCCGTCTTTTTGAGCCTCAATTGACGAAAGCGTGCTTTTTTTGGTTCATGTCATCGCCTGTAGGTCAGTAACCCTGTCGTGTCTGCTTTGCATTTACACAAACACACTGCTCAGAATGAGATATCAACATTTTCGCTATAGTGACTCGGTATCAAAGCCACTGGGCTGCCTAATTAGACCAGCAATGGTGCGTAGAGAACATTGAACATTGTTTATGTGTTCTCGACGGCCAGGTGTGTAAGGGCGCGCCAATGACAAAACCCGCTAGAGTTGCATTGCGAGGCCGGTTGAAAGAGATGATGTTGTTAACAGGTGGGCAAGCTTCAGCGGACTCTAGTACTGCCGGACAGCGTGGATCTATCGGAGCAGTGCAAGCAGGAGACCGGGCTCACGGCGGAGGAGCTGTGCAAGGCCGAGCCGCTGGAGAGCGTCCTGCAGCAGGTGAGAGAGAGAGAGAGAGAGAGGCGCCTTCATGCAGTCTGTTGGTCTGTGTCTTTATACATTGTTTATACCTTCTTGTCCGATGCTTAGGAATGTTTTAGACATTTTAGTCTGTTTTATCTTAAACTAAAAGCCACATAACACAGTGGCTCATATGTCAGCAGCATAAGGTAAGAAGTCTAGTTGGTATTGCACACTTGGATTGATTTTGAAATGGTTTGGGTGTGGGGATGAAGGCATAGACGCTCTGCTCTAGGCGAGCGTGCAGGTCTAGTCTTGTTGACTGGTGTGTTCAGCTGACATCTGGAAGACGGAATGTTTACTTGCGAGTGCACCCACCTGAGACCCATGTCATTGAGTTGAGAGTAAGCAAGAGTGATATTAACACAGGGGGATGATGAACTGAATCATAGATGGGGAATATAATGAAAAATATTCTGCGAGATATTTCTGCCTTTCTTTTCTTCTGCTGTCCACGTTGTGCTGTCGATGAGTTAAAAGTTGCTCGCCAGTTTTGCACGTATGTTTTGACAAAAAGCAGATGTCGCCAAACGTGTTTCTCAACTGTGACGCAGAGAGAATTTGTTTGTACTCTGTAAACCTATTCCCACCCCCCACCTTCTCATTACTATCCCACAGAAAATTATTTAGAGCTCAGAGGGTAAGCTCAGTTGTGAGACTAGGCGTTTGTTGGAATTTACATATTTCTTTTTTAAGTACAAATGAGGGACCTTAATGCTTTAATTTTCTCATATTTCTTGCATACCTTTGTTACATTCGAGTGGTGGCATTTGCATGTTATCTTGATTTAGTTGTAGCCTATCCCCAAGGGGCTCTGTAAATATTAACTAGTGAAATCAATTTCTCCATGCCAGAGACAGAAAGAGAGACACTATCAAACCATTTGTTCAGTTCATTTTCTTCTGTTGTGTTTGTCCTTTCAAATTTAAAGCAATGCAAATAAATGCACCCACTTACATCAGGGGCCTATACCATGAAGCTGGTTTAGCTGGATAGCCAGGTATGTTTCAGTTTAGTTTGCGCCAAGCCATCAACCCTTGGTTTTAGGCACATAGAAAGTGGCTCGGCTTGAGCAGTGTTCAACACTATAGTAACTTGTGCTCCACGGCTGGGTAGGAGATCTCAAAGCCAATATTGGACCAATCAGCTGTGAGCAAAGCATCTCTGACGCAATAGTCACTACCCCAGTTTTTTTTCTTTCTCCATATTAAAGGCCAATACATGGTAAAAGATTTTTAAATCGAACACTTTCTGGCTTTTAGTTTAGAAGAGAGAAAAGCATCTTGCTGATTCCCTCACGAGAAGTGAATCACAGTTTCTCTGTTTCAAGGCATGTGATTGGCTGTTCACTACTGATGTTTTATTTTACAATAACAATATAATTTTATTTGTATTATTATTAATATTGTGATTTTATTATTTTATAGATAAACTAATTATAAATATATACAATATGAAAGATGTAAGTGACATAAAGAGTGCTTGAAGTTTTTCAGGTAGCCTATTGCACCACTTGAATAATCGCAGGTAAAAAAAAACAAAAAAAACCTCCATACATTGAATGTATTAAATATACACTGATTGTTATTAAAACTACAAATTAGAGCACAGGATTAAGTTCTTTTCATTAACAATTTTTAACATCAAGTATGTGCATTTTTAATTCATAACTGTTTCTTTATCGCTCGAACGTGTCAATGACAATAAGCATGTCTCTTCTGCACACATACATTTACATACTGGAATTTTACAAATCTGTATCACTATTTACTTTTGTATTTTTACCACAATATATTATTACTGTATATCATACCTTGCCCTATAATGAACAGTGAGGAGTTTGGGTAAAGGGCTGAAAGAGCCTCACTGTGGCATGGCAATCCAATTAGGACCTTGACCTGCTGTCTTCAGTGAAAGATTCTTTCAAGAAAGATCCCATATTTATGGAATTGTAACACATCCGTAACATCCGTTTTCTCACTGTTGTGACTCACTGGTTGATAAAATACGTTCTTACCAGTGTGTCTGGGTTAGGAAACTGGTATTTGGAAGGCTTTTAATGTGGCTCATTCCATCTTACTAACAGATTTGAGTCAATGTCAAACCTGTATTTCTGAGCTTTAGTGGCTGATCCGTGCTGTGCATTTATAGCTGCTGGGACTCTCTGGATGACTCGCTTTGGCTTTGCACCTGCTTTAGACGCTAACGCTGTGGGAATGGTTTGGTGTTAACACATCTGTGTGGGTGTGAGGGAGAAAAGACTTTAAGCAGAATAAAATTGTTACTTGTTTGAGCTCAAGAGTGTTTGTGTGGTAGAAAAGGATCTTGGGTGTGTTCAAGATACTTTGGGTGTGTTAGAGAAAGTGTGTGTGTTCTCTGAGCTTGCTGAGAAAGCACATCAGGCTGGCAGGAGCATGTCAGTACCTGTGTGATGAGCAGAGAGCTTTATTACTCTACAGACTGTCAATGCTCATTGAGGATTCTAAGAAATGCCTCTATGAAAGGATGAGTTGACACATTCATCCATTCTTTTATTCAGCCTTAGAGCGGAAAGCACAGACTTCCCATCAGTGAAATGGTCATTTACAGACCTGA